TAGAAGGACGGCAGGGATAAAAGGCTGAACTATGAAGACCTATGCATACAGCCGGATGTAAAACTTCCAGAGGGTTACAAACCTCCCAAGTTCGAAATGTTTGACGGTACAGGTGATCCAGGGTTCATCAAAGGACCTATTGTGACAAGCTTTGTTGGGGTCGAAAAAGATGAAAAGATCCGGATGAAGCTTTTTATGAGGAGTCTTAGGGAGATGCCTTGTCCTGAGTACATCAGCTAGGATCCTAAGAATGGCCCCAAGTGTGTGAGTATGGGCGTCTGATTTTATGGACCGATTCAGGTTCAACACAGAGAATGCACCAGATGTCTTCTACATTTAGAACCTCAGAAGAAGCCACCGAACTTTTCCCGCGAGTATGCTACTCGATGGAGTCAGAAAGCAGCCAAGTCAGGCCAGCATTGGATGAGAACAGATGAAACAAGTTCGTTTGTCAGAGCACAGGATCGCAATACTATGAAGCTTGATGGTTATTGAAAACCATAAGTTCTCTGATATATCAAAACTTGGTGAAGGATCGAAGAAAGGCATCAAGAGCGGGATGGTAACAAAACTCGGAGGCATTGCAAGCCACTAATAAACATTGCAGTCAGGGGGTATATCTAAGAAGAAGGACGTGGGAGCAGTAAATGTCGCCCAACAACCCAAAAACTCTATTCGTATACCGAACCTCCCCACTTGCATATCAAGCACCTCCACCCACATATCAACCACGCACCATCCACCTACATATCAACCCTCATTCCCCAGATATTCCCAACCAGCCACTGCCTATCAACTAACTATATTCCCAACCATCTCATTTTCAAGTCACCTCCAATCGTCAAAACTACCCGAGACTGCGACCTAATTTCGACTGCAGACCACCCAAACAATACACTGAACATGCTGTCCCATCGACCAGCTTTATGAAAGTTGAAGGTTGCTGGCTACGTCACTCCATCCCTACTGTGGCCACGGAGAACTCATCCCAATTGGTTAACCCAAATAAGACTTGTGCACACCATTCGGGCATGAACGGGCACACCATCGACGAGTGCCGCACATTAAAGGAGCAAATCAAGGCTTCGATTGACAACAAGGTCATCCAGGAAAGGAGCTACGCCTAAATGTCCGTAATAAATACCCCCTCCTAGATCATATGGGTGAAGTGTCATATAATAGAGATTATGAAGAGTGGGATCCGGAGGGATCAATCAGACTTATCAAGAGGGTGACGACCCCAAGAAACCCGCAGTCACACTCATCCCATTATAGTACAGGTACACGCGCCAGTGAGTGCGAGGTAACAACATCAGTCCATTTAAAGTTGAGGTAGCACTCCTACAGTTGCACCTATTAATTTGAGGTGAAATTAGCCACACCATTTACAATGACAGTATCAACCACATCGCCTTTTTCGCACCGAGGCTGTATCATGGGATTATAGTGGCTGAATCTAGAAGGAAAGAAAAAACCAAAATGGGAGAATCTGGTGCTGCACAAGGGATGGCTAGGACTGGAAGGGTCTATACACCCGAACATTTGGGAGAATCCCAGCAAACAGCCTCTAACAGACCTCCCGTTATTGAAACAGGTCCATATGACCTCTGCAGGAGAGTACAAGCAAGGGAGTATTTCCGGTCATCGATCATCTGGACAAGACTCCTGCTCAAATATATATCCTGTTGCTGTTGCAGAATTCAGAACACACAGGAACGCTCTGATGAAGTATTGGACGAAGCATATGTGCCAATAACATCACAAGTAGAGAAATGGCTAACATGGTGGGCAGGTATTGGAAAGTCACCAAAATCATTTCCACGCGAATGAATTGCCGCTGAGGGTTTGAGTCACATAAGGCACTGCATATCATAATGCAATGCGAAGACTACTTCATTACCAGGGTCTTGATCGATGGAGGATTTAAGTCTTATATTTGCCACATTGACAACACTGAAGAGGTTGGGCAAAGGCCTATACGAGATACGAAAAGGACCATGAACGTGAAGGCATTTGATGGGCTCAGAGAGCTACCATCGGGGAAATAATCTCTGTCTGCAAGGGCCTACATGGTATTGATGTCGAGTTCAGGTGCTGGACATATCTGCATTCTACAATCTGTGTTGGGACGACCGTGGATACACGTCGCTGGGGCTGTGGCATCAATTTGCATCAGGCAGTGAAGTTTGAGTGGAACCATCAGGAGGTAATTATCCATGGAGATGGAAGCAACCCCATTTAACAACCGTCAGACTATCCCGGTGGGTTGAGAATAGAAGAAGGCTCGGTGGAGAAACTTTATCATCATATCGAGCGGGTCAATGCAATCGACAAAGATAAGTGGTGGGATAGCAAGATAGCAAGCATGATGCACTGGAGAGGGTATGAGCCTGGCAAAGGTCTTGGCAAAAATCTTCAGGGCATTTCCAAAGCCAATACAGCCGAAGCGTCAAGGCACTACTTTGGCCTGGGATACCCGATCACTTGCAAGAGTATAGAAACTGGTCCCACCATGGCGTGGTCCGTACTATCCACATTGAGCAGCCTAATACTGCACTTGATTCAAACATTCCAATAGGCCAATAATTCTATGGGTATCAGGGGAGGAAGCAACACTGGCAACCTTAAGGAACATGTTCTTTGGAGAATGAGGACATGGACTGTTGTGTAAGTGTGGAGGAGGAGGAAGGCCCTACCATCCGGTTGGGGAGAAAGGATCCTCCTCAAGAATTGGCACTGTCAGACCATCCAGGGCCCAGACGACCCCGTGGGTAGCAAGGCTGATAGCCACACACTGTTTTGTTTATTTTTTCTAAGAAAAAATGAATTTCGCTTTTGCATTCTGTTTTAAATAATATTTTCCAATAGTTCCGAAAACGTTGTTTAAATTT